AATGAATAAAAGTAAAAGTAAACAAACAAATAAGTGATAATTATAACAGTAATAATAATTCCATTATCATTAAACTAAGTGCTATTACGAATTATTAATAATAATAACAATAATAATACTAATTCAATTCTTTATTATTTATAATAATAATAATAATATTAATAACGACATTAATAAAAATAATGAGTATAATAATAATTTAAATAATTAATTCATTCATAATAATAATAATAATAATAATAAGGCAGACCCCTGTTGCTTCCACTGAAATGAGGGGCGGCAGGCCTATGTCTACGTGAAGGAGGCCTTTCTTAACCTCGACAGTCCAATAAATATCGTAATTTGGAATGTAATACCTCAGATGTGGTTTCAGATATGTTTCAGAGTAGAGTGCCACGTATATTTTTAGGTATTTGCAAGTGTTTTCTGACCTCGTGGGCCTGCTTCCGAATGTCGCTATTATTGAATGCTATGATTTTCAGGGGTCTATGAACTATTCTTTTCATTACGTTTCAACAAACTCTTCACTAAATTAATCACGGTTTTGGTCTCTTTTTCTGTGTCGCAGCACCAGAAATCTCTTTCAAATTCCGCTGCACCGTAGTGACAGCAGCAAACGTGACATCCTTAGCCTGCAATGAGTGATTTGAGTTTGATGGGAGATTGCACACATGATGATCTAGGGTTTAGACTCCGCACTTTCCTTGCGCGCTGCAACTCCCGTTCTGCGTGCCGCCACCCTCCGCACTCAATGGGTTATATTTCTCGGGGCAACCCTGATGTCGGTGACTCCTCACTCCACAAACAGCGAGGAAGTTGCCTACTCATGGTTTACGTACCACATATCTTGCCATTCGTCATAGAGTTTAGAAACCTTTACTCTGAACAATGTGTACAAAAACACGCGTGAAGGACATATCGAAATGCTATTGCAAAGTGTAATCTCCAAAAATATTAATGACAATCAAAACCTCATCGTTTCTATCAGTATTACGAGTCACTGTGACTGTGTAAATTAGGAGAAAGGAGACCCGTGACCTTGACCAAGAGGATATATTGCCAACCATTTACTGGGGACAATAGTTTGTACGTAGAAGTCCATTTACCAACAAGCAATCATCATGATATGCGGTTTAGCTGGTCTTCTGACAACTATCATCACGATCATCGCAGTTCTGGCTGATGATTTAGTTGTACTAAAACAAGGATGTCTCATAGGGCATCGGCTGACGTCACGGAAGGGCCGCGAGATATTCGCTTTTCAAGGAGTCCCTTATGCCAAGCCACCAGTGGGGGAGTTGAGATTCAAGGTACGAGTATATTTATTCTTAGGTTCTACGTGTTCTTCCACGTTCCATGCACACTGACACTTTGATATTGCATTAAAATAGACCATGGTCACTGCCTAACATATCCCCGACCTTTTGTTTCACTTTGCATTATTTATAATTGACAAAGTTCATAGCACATCGGAATTACTGGCTTTTTGCACTTTGTCCATTGCCCGTTTTCCTGAAAATCTAGAGAACTCGAAGTTTCGGAAAATGGATCTGTATAACATTTCCACTTCATTTTCTCTCTTAGTTCCAGGTCTCTGCATTGTTCGTCAAAATTTTCATTGTACGTATATTTCCTTGTTATCTTCCACTGACAAAATCTGGTGTCATGCATTTATGCGGCTGTAGTTATACTAACATATGTTGTCCATTAATTCACGTTAGCTCTTCTAAAAGATCCAACAGAGTAGGTATCACCCCCCCCTCCGAGGACTGTAGCAGATCCAGTTTCCAGAACGTTATGGGTTCTGATCTCTAGTCCAAAAACCAAGTACTTCCGAATGTTATACACAATTTGATACACGTATTTGCTTGATAGCATCTTTGTTGAGTACTGAGTATTGGCACGAGGGGTGGAGGGACCAAGCTCCGATCGCCCCACGCACTGAGACCATTGTGTGTCCCCAGTTTTCACTTTGACCCTATAGAAGAATCCTGCCCTGAGATCCACAGTCAACATCTGTCTGACTGTGGTCCTACTAATATATTTTGCTAGGACAATTCTTCTTGCTGTCCACATTTCCTACAAACAGCATTATCCGAGAGCTGCCGCCTCCAGCCAACAGTTCTGTTACCAGTCTACACTGTTTTTTCGAGGGCATTGTCCCAATATTTGAAGTACTTCATTGTCAGTCACCCCGTAACTCAGAGTCGTTGCTGTGCATTAAAAGTGTAACAGCTTTCGCTCATGCAAGAATGACTTTCAGTTTCTTAAACATGATAGGCCTGCAGTTGTGTGGATGGATTCAGTTGGCTCAGGATAGGGCCCAGTAACGGGTCCTCATGAATACAACAATGAATCTGCATATTAAAAAAAAAGTGTGAAATTTTCGACAAGCCAAGTGACTATCAGCTCTGAAGCAGAACCCTGCTTAATTCAGTTAGATTCAAACCTCTAACCCGATGTGTTATTTTTGTTGGCAGCCTCCACAACCTGCAGAACCATGGACAGGTGTGCTGGACGCTACCAAGGAAGCCCCTATGTGTGTCCAGCGAGGGCTCTTCCCCAGCGATATAGAAGTCAGAGGACAGGAAGACTGTCTCTACCTCAACGTCTACACGCCACGGGTAACGTTCTCTTCCACGGATCATAAGCCGACCTGATCAGTTGGCTTTCCCACCACTGTCCTCTCGCTGATGGAGCACATGGAACACAGATTTGTATCCAGTTGTGTAGAGCAGTGGTTCCCGGAAGGGATTATATTGAGCGTTTATTAATGTGAATAAAAATATTCAGAAGTCTCCAGTTTACAGAAACGTGACTTAAAATGCAATTTAGCAACTTAAAAATATAATTACTAATGAAACTTAAGTATGTCTCAGAAGTAACTTGTTTCGTATATGATGGCAGGATATGTTATGCACTGGTAATATTATGTTTTTTGCTTTCGGTTTACAGATTTTGTTGCATAATAGATTTTTTTCTTTGTACTATAATGCATATAAAAATATTTATTTTTACATTGATAATGGCTTGTTGGGTTGCATGTCATTCAGTTCATGCAGTACACGGTTTATATCAGCGAGTTTTTCATTGCATATTATACCACGTAGGCACCTGAAGTAGCACATAATTCTTACCATATACGAATGCGGTATGTACCATTGTCCTAAGGACTGCAAAAACATTTAAACTTGAATTGGCGCTCCCATTGAACTGGGAGCAATATTGTGATAATTTTGTATTGGTCATATCTATTATTTCTTTGGTTATATTATGTTGTGTGTTATGGTTGTCAACATATTCTGTGTAGTGCCGGCTTGCTTTGTGGTGTGCGCATTAGCAATGGCGGGCAAACACATCTCTGCATCTCTTTCTGTGCAAATTGTATAGGTCTGTAATGTCTTCATGTTCTTTGCGTTGGGTGCTTTGAATCTGATTCGGGTATGTGGCTGATTGGCGTGCTGGAGACTTGCGACATTTAACTATGGGTCCTGTGGTTGATTAAATTTTATTTATTTCATGTTCTGTGCGTTGGGTGCTTTGAATCTGATTAGGGTATGTGACTGATTGGCGTGCTGGAGACTTGCGACATTTAACTATGGGTCCTGTGGCTGATTAAATTTTATTTATTTTTATTACAGCACGTAGGTTTGGTGTTTCTGAGTTCATGCTATAGTAACTCTATTATTGTATTTTGGGGGTGTGCTTAGGACATTGTTTCATGATTTGTTCTACTTATTTTAGCATTGATTAGTTGGGTTTAGTGTGGTGTGTGTGAGTTGCTTTGTTAATAACTTTGTTTTATTTTTGTCGGTGTATTGTGATTATTGCCGGTCAAGGTAGCCGAGCGGTCTGGGACATGCACTGTCTTCGCTCGGAAGCCGGGATCATGGGTTCGAGTCCCACTCAGGGTATGGATATTTGGTGTGTGTGTGCGTTTATTCTGTGTTTGTGTTGACCTGTGTTTAGGTAGCGGCCTTGCGACGGACTGATCCCCCGTCCGAGAAGTCCTACCTTCTCTAAAATGATCAAGAAACTGAGAAATGAGCCCAATGCCCCAAACTGGGAGCGAGAGGAGACAAAATTATGATTATTGTTGTCCTTTGTCTGCTTGTGTTACTATTATCTGCTGGTGTTCTGGTATTTGCTTTTAACGCTATTCCGGTTCTCTATTCCTGTTTCGCTGTCGCGGTGTTTCTATGCATTTTTGAGGTGTTTGATTAATTTAGGTGTTGCATATTTTAGATATATTTTTTGTTCTGTTTATATTGCATAGCTTATGGCTTTTTCGACTTCCAGTGCTGATGTTTCAATCGAGTTTTGTGGGGGTGTTATGATATCCAATTCATTTAAAATCAAAATACAACATTTCCGAAACTTCGGAATCTATCACAAAACCCGAGCGATTAAAAGATCTGGAATTCATATTTAGATGATATTTAATCTAAAACATCTTTAATTGTACGTAATTCCTTGAGTAGGCAACCTAACGGATGAACATTCCTAGATAATGAACATGTTTTGATTTCCATCATGTATTACAAATGGAATCTAGTAATTTTTTAATCACGTAACGATATAGTTCTGATGACGACAAATCCCGAAACATGTTTTCGACACTGTGTAAGGACGCAATATAAGAAGAGGACAGGGTAACGGGACGCGTGCCTGGCAATGAGCGTGACGTCACTCACTTCGTATCTTAACCACGGATGAATTAAAATACATAAAAGACGTTCCTTTCATTTTATACTTAACCTGAACTCAGAATATAAAAATAAGAAATGTATTCCGTACTATTCTAACATGAATAATAATTTTCCCTTTGGAACTGTGTTCAAGCTGGTGCAGCAAGATGTTCCGGTTCAGTTTCAGGAAAAAAGGACTCGTGGAAATTTTGAGAGATATTCCAACACTAAGGGGCTGTATGGTAAAATTGTCCTCTGCTTAAATAATTAAACACTATACCATGAAGACATATGGGAGAGTGGAGGTATAGCTCCAACTTTCTTGACCTCGACACTAGATGGAGCTGAGTGGGCAGCTTCACTGCCCACCGCTTTACCCCCTGAGAAAGTCGCCTCCCGGTACCCACTGGATAGGAGTCTGGGTGTGCCCCCAGGGCCAGTCTGGACGACGTGGAGAAGAGAAAATTCTTGACTACTGGAACTTGAACTCCGACCGATGCGACGCAAAGACCGTAGCCAGTCGTTATACCGAATACGCTACCCATGCTCGCTTTCAGTTCTGGTTCAGATCGAGAGAAAAGCTCGTGGGAATTTTGATAGACATTCCAACACTTCGAGGCACTGTGGGGTTTTCTGTGACGTGTTTAATCTCTTAGTCATTTCTCCATATGTATTGTTTAAGTTATTCTTGCGAAACGAAGGACAACGATCGCCATGATACAATATTGATCATCGGAGCAAGAAAGTTTGTAGGGAATCTGAGGGTCTCACGACGGTGAGTGTGAAGGATACAGGCGCACCCTGGGGTCACAGAAAGATGCTGACAATGAATAATTTCGTTTCGTAAAAGGAAATCTAAACAGTGAAAACAAAAACTTAAAATAAACGGACAAACAAAGGATAATTGTGATGATGGGAACCTGCAAGGGAGAAATTATCCATCTACACCCATTCTGGAGTTAATAAGAATCGAAAAACTTATTAGAAAACATGAGCGGTTTGCATGCAAATTTTCTGACTAATCCCACAACCCCAGAAATGTCTCAGTGCCGACCATCATCTACATATTTTATTTCCTGTTGGAACTGCAGTGGTTGACGGTTATTAAGAATATTAATTGAAAGTACTGTAGTTGTATTTTTTTATTTGCATCCATTTCGAACGAACACGTTCCCTCCATCTTCCTTATAATAGAGGCAGGTTTCTATGAAACGTCGGCAACTTTCTACCAGAACACACAACGTCGCATTTTCTCGGAAGTTTATTTAGTTGCTCTGGTTCAGACGAGATCCCATCTTCAGGGCACATTTCTCTCTTCATCACCAGCCAAATTTGACGCAGTGCTTGGAAGCCTAGTTGTAACATTAATAGGGGCAATTCCATTTTTCTAGATCTCGAAGAGCGGTTCGGAGGCAGCGCCTCTTGATGTTATGGTTTGGGTCCATGGCGGAGGTTGGTTTACGGGATCCGGAAACACGGACATGTATGGACCGCAGTATCTCCTGGACAAAGATATTATCCTGGTAACAATGAACTATCGTCTTGGGTTAATAGGTAGGCCAAAAGTTACTTCAATATATATTTTAATTTGCATTGTAATAGAGCACTATCTATCTATCTGTGGCTCTACAGCCTTTCTGTTAGACCTTGGTCCCTTTTTCAGTTTCTCAATCCTATTCACAGTCGGTAGGAACCCTTGGACGGAGGATCAGCCAGTCGCAAGGCCCCTACCTACATACACAAAATCGCAAACACAGAAATCCATGCCTTTAGTGGGATTCGAACCCACGATCCCAGAGTTCAAGCGAGAGAAGACGGTTCATGCCTTAGACGGCGTTATAATTATTTGTAGTTACGACATGTGAGTGTCCAATAAATGTATTCATCTGATCCAGAACCCATTAATATTAGTCACGCAAACACCTTATAAGTGACAATATACAGGGTTATTAAAAAAGAATACCGATTTTATTACGCAATATTTTATTAAAGGAAAGTAATGCAAAACTCCAGCCAAGTCACAAGTATTCTACTCACAATCAACTTTTATTTCCTGTCTTACAAGTGTTCAATGTGGCCACCACCTGCAGCACGGTGCTTGAGAACTGAAGCAATGCGTCATGAAATCGGTTCATTCCTTTTGAATAACCCTGTATTACTACAGCCCGAAGAGAGAATCAATTTTTTTCTCGTGGTCGTAGGCACGCACTTTTGGGTGTGGGTATTGCCCGTTATGTAGATTTAACTACAGTGACGGAGAAGAAATAAATCAGGCAGCACAAGTAATTATGCTTTAATTGAACATGCATTTACGCATGTGTAATCCTGTAGGATCGGTGAGAACGAAAGTTTGTTTCATTATTATTGGAAGTAAGAAGCTTCGTTAAACTTCGGATGTATTCGGGAAATCATTATTAATTGCTGAATACATAAATTGGGCGATGTAAGCATAGCGCCCCTCTTTTACAATCATCTCGAAACCCGTAAACCGTACAGAACACGAAACGTATGCTTCATTTCTTTATACAATGCTTATAGAAATATGTTTTCCTCTGATAAATATTGTATTTGGCGAGTTACTCTCGAGAAAGGCAAAGAAATGCATGCTCGTTGGTTCTGCCCGATTTTAATCAGAACTGGAATTCGTCTACATTTGTCAGTAAAATTCATCAGGATAAAATTCTGGACAGTTTTATAGTAGGGCACGCGGTAACATAGTTGGGTGCGGAACTATGCTACAAGCCGGAAGCCCGCTGGTTCGATTCCCAGTTAGGTCATTGTATTCTTCAAATGAACTAATCCTTCCAACCGCACTATGGTCCTGGCGTCGACTTAGCCTCTAACAGAAATGAGTACCAAGAATATCCCTGGGGCTAAAGGACGACCGGCGCATAAGGCTGACAACCTCACCGCCATCTGTGAGCCAACTCTCTAGAGAAAACGTGGGAGCCTATGGACCTTCATGGCCTGTTGCAGGGATAGCTTACCTATGCGTGTGTAATATCAACGAACAATGAAGCCTTGATATTTACACTATTCTTTCGGCATGAGCCGACAACTTTGATTTCCAAGTATNTCAGATGCTTATTCGATTTACGTTAAACTAGTTCACTGCATGCCTTGCCGTCTTCATATTAAAATAACTAAAATATATATTTATCATATATATTGATAAGTGTTAAAAATATTAAAATTGTTCAGGATTTTTCATCCCTACGTCGTATCTCACTACGCGAGTCACACCTATCCTCTTCTGTTGAGCACTCTTTCACTATCGTGTGTGAATTGTGCTTTGTGTTGTGTCTTGCTCCTGTGACTGTGTGTGTTATACTGCTGGGCATGCTGGGTATGTGTGTGTGTGTGTGTGCTGTCTTCAGCACACACACACACACATATGCACCTGAGGATGGCACTTTTGTGCCGAAACATGTAGTGCGAGTGAGAGGAGGAGATAGATGAGTGTATGCACTGGAAGACGGTTGAAATAAATCATGGACTTAAATCAGTGCAACAGGACGCTAAAATATAACATTATTAATCTTAGTTATTTAAAATTAACTGATTACAAGGGAAACATTTAGATTATTCTTAGTTATTTAATTTATATAAAATATGGAAACTCTCTCTGACTTGTAAGATTTGAGGTTTTCACGGCGCTGACTATGAAGAAAGCAGTCTTCTGGGATGTGGCGCCGTGTAGATGTGGTGTTAACCGACGTTTCGGAGGAACGTATCGCCTCCATCTTCAGGGTAGAAGGAAAAATTAGAAAATCCGCAAGCGAAGAGAGTGAGAACAGGTGCAAGCAGACTAATGTCGGAAATAAACTCAGCTGTATGAGAGCAGGAAAGGAAGGGACAGGTCTACATGGGAAATCAGTGGAGAGAGTGAGGGGAAGGGTCTAGGAGAGGAGTAAGGTTTCAGCAGGTATAGGATATTGTGTCGCTGGAGAAAGGCAAGGTTAATGGGAGGGCATTATCCCTTAAGCTCGGGGGTTGCTATGCGAGTCGGTCATGGAGTGCGTGGCTTTGTGGATCTGGCGTCATGGCCCGGGTTTTTTTTAGGAAACAGATGAGAGGCCTCCATGACTTGCTGAGACAAAACCTCCATTCTCTGTTCATATTGTAGGGATGGACAATGGCTTAGGGAGGCCATTGAGATTGAACTCCATCCCGACAACATGAAGAGAGAAGGGGGTTTGTCTAAGTAAGTCATGGAAGTCTCTCATCTCTTCCCTAAGAAAACCCCCGGGACATGACACCAGATCCACAAAGCCACAGTCCATAACCGACTGGCATAGCAACCTCTACGCTTAACGGTTAATGCCCTCCCATTAACGTCACCTTTCTCCCCCAACACAATATCCTATACCTGCTCTAAATTTGCTCCTGCTCTCCAGACCCTTCCCCTCTGCCTCTCCACTGATTTCACATGTATACCTGTCCCTTCCTTTCGTGCTCTCATATAGCTGAGTTTATTTCCCACATTGCTCGCACCTGCGCTCGCTGTCTCTTCGCTTGCGGATTTTCTTATTCTTCCTTCTACCCTGAAGATGGAGGAGATACGTTCCTAAGAAACGTCGGTTAACACCACATCTACACGGCGCCACATCCCAGAAGACTGCTTTCTTCTCTCTCTGAATTATTTGCTTTTTTGAGAAAATTGAAATAAAAACAAGTTTAAAACAACGAGACCAAGACTCTGTGCACAAACCATTCGAACATTTTCTAACCTCTGCAGGTACAAACATAACATTCACTTTGTTACCTTGACCGGGTTACAAACCTGGTATCTACCGAGAACATGGCCTCTCTATTTGCAACCTGAGCCAGTCTGTTTGATCTGTCAGTTGTGTCAGTGTGTCATTATGTAATAACTGCGGCCATCTGTGGTGTGATGCTGCACAGTTCGATGAATGTATATTGATATACCAATCGAAACGGCGACATACGCCAGATAATCGTGATTTCTTTAATTCCTGCTGTGAAAGCCTCAAACGAGGAAGTGTAAAGGCCATTAGAAAGTAAGTCCACAATGGATGATTCTTTTCTGAAAGTGATTCACCCGACACTCACTTTGCATGGTGCAACTCTTTTCTACGACAAGAAGCAGAAAGTCTGTATATCCGAAATTGCAGTAGTAGATTTCGTCCTTAATGAGAACATGGAGGGTGTCAGGCGTACCTGAAATGTTAGATTTTTTTTTTTAATTTTCTACTCTCTGCAGTTCTCATAGCACAAGGATATAATAGCTGTCGTTTTGTTTAAATGCATATTTTTGATTCGAGGAGGACGTACTAGAAATTGCCTGCAACATTTATGTTAATAAGGAAAGCAGACAGGCATATTGGTCCTTATGCTGCCTGTACCTTCACAATTAAAGGCTCGAATCCGTGTCTACAGGTTTCCTGAGTACGGAAGATGCAGAGTGTCCGGGTAATAACGGAATGAAAGACCAGGTGGCAGCACTGCGCTGGGTACGTGACAACATCGTAGAGTTCGGTGGAAACCCGAACAGGGTGACGATATTCGGTGAAAGTGCTGGAGGTAGCAGTACACACCTCCACATGCTCTCTCCTGCCAGCAAAGGTGAGATCTGTCAAGTTCTTACGTCGAACTTGGAAACGAAAATCATTTTAGCCCTCCTGTGTCCATACATTTGAAGCTAACTAGAAACCTGCCCGGCATTTTCTGGGCTTAACGCACAAGTATTCTTATATCCTTTGACCTACTGCCTCAATTCTGGCCTTGGCATACCGTGAAACTTTCCGTTTCACTTGAGTTTACTAGATCTCAGACAGTTGGTAGAACTCCTTGAACGGGTTATCAGCTCGTCGCAAGGCGACCTGTACATAAACACAAAAATAAAACTCAAACACATACACAAACACCACACATCCATGCCCTGAGTGGGGATTCGAACCCACGATCCCGGCTTCCGAGCGAAGACAGTGCATGCCTTAGACCGCTCGGCTACCGTGACCGGCCAACGCACACTTATAAGGAGCGAAAATTACCCGTAAACCCAGGAGCGACAGTTTTCCCACCATACCTTTGTAAGGCAGAAGGTAGTTTGGATGTTGCTCAGTATCCTAGCAACTATCCCATTGTTCTCACAATCACAGCGCCTTTCGTACAGATACAGGAATGAGGATATATTGTGGCTTGGGGTTGACCCCGTCTCAGAACGCTGCAGCAAGTTCTCCGTGTTGCTGAGACGTGGTGTGAGTGCTGGAACATAAAAATTCAATAAAGATAAAAATTCGGGCAAACTACTTTTCTCATAGACTTCGGGTCCCCGAGACTCATCTGACATTGAATAGGCAGAATATCCCCTTTGTAATCACGCAAAGTATCACGGTGTAATCTTCCATAAGAGGATTATGTGGAGACAGCACATAGAAATGATCAAAGCCAAGGCCTTAAGAACAATTATTAGAGTTTATTCCCTATTCAAAAGTGAGCGTTTAAGCTCCAATATTAAACGAATCTTCCATAAGGTACTGATCTGATCAGTGATCACTTATGCTTGCCCCACATAGAAATTTGCGGCAGACACCCACCTTTTAAAACTGCAGCGCATGGAAAACAAGGTTATCCGTTCAATTGGAAACTTTCGAAAGTGCACACGGGTCTGCGATTTGCAGACAGCTTTGAACCTTCCGTATGTGTACGTCTATATTACAGAATTGTGCTGGCTCAGACTTGGCAGCGGTCAAGTTTACGACCGTTCAAGTGACTAAGCTGCCGTTGTAACATAAGATACGTAAGATATGCATGATCTGCTGTGCCAAGCCTGGACTAAAAGAGGACTTGTGTATAGTGAAAAAGGGAAGAGTTTTCACTAACTTGCTGTATGTGCGATATATACACTTGACGAAAGGCCAAGCTTATTTACAGGAGACAAAACCATCTTCTCGTCAGAGAGGATGTTACGTAAGGAATAATAGTGAGAGGGTTCAGTTGAAAAAATAAAGATCTCTGGCGTGAGTCTCAAGGGGCTTGACGCCAATACGAACTGATTGACGGTAAACCGCCAGTTGTAAATTAACTTTGACTTCGACTTGGACCCCGTGTATGTATCCATGAGTTTAGAACCACTCCAGTTAAATATTCCATCATCATGCCATATTTGATAGACATAGACACCATTATATGGAAATATATAAAAAACAAGCAAACAATCATTCTTCATTGTGCAAAGAGAGATGAAGTGGGGATTGCTCAGTCAGTGTAGTGTTTGGCTACGACCTAGGCTACTTGGATTCCTTTGCCTGCAGGCTGATGTTTTTTCTTGGCCAAGGCGTCCTAACTGGGCGTGGGGTTCACCCAACCTCACATCCCATGCACACCGGGTCCTCTTTCCTCCGAGATAAAGCGTTACTGGCTGAAGCTAACGAGTGTTTTCTCTCATCTGGAGCTTAATATTCGGAACTACACCGTGCGTCTTCATAGCTTTTACTTACTTATTCAAGGGAGCAGCTTGCATCTATTTATGAATACAAGGTGTGCCCCAAAAGTCATGAAATATATTTCTTTCCCGCGCTCCTACTGGTCGGAGCGCGCTGGACCCGCTTGGGTTAGGGCGGGAAGCCTTTAGTTCACAGCGCGCCCAAGGTCAGTCTGCTCGAGCATCGGAGGCGTCAGTATCGCTGATTTAGTGCACCTGTGTTTTGTGACCACGTCACGGCGCGCGATGGCGGTTACATTCGAACAACGTTGGGCGGTCAATTTCTGCACAATGCTCAACAAAAAAAAAACTGCCGAAACTCACGAACTGCTTAAGCAAGCCTACAGGGAGTCTGCTCTATCATATGTGCAAGTTGCAAGGGGGGGGGGTGAAGAAGTTTAAGGAGGGCCAGGAAGGAGTGGAAGATGACCCCCGCTCTGGAGGGCCATCAACAAGCCAAACCGATGAAAATGTGACTCGTGTGCGTGATTTGTTGAATACTGGCCGTCGAATGACTGTCCGGTTGTTAGCCCACACTCTGAACATTCCAAAAACCGTTGTGCATCACATCGTTATGGACGAATTGAACATGCGAAAGGTGTGCGCCAAGCTGGTCCCCAAATTGTTAACGGACGAGCAAAAGATCAATCGAATGTTGATCGCGAGTGAATTGAAGGAACGTGTGGAAAGTGAACCTCATCAAGACTGCGCTCAAAGGACACCGTTTTGAAAGCATTCAGGCTATCCAAGCGGCCGTGACAACAGCTTTAAATAACGTTCCCGTCTAGGCTTTTGAGGGGGCGTACCGGGCATGGGAGCGTCGGTGGAAAAAAATGTGTAGATGCACATAAACAGTATTTTCAAGAATATTAACACTTTGTACCGATATCACAAAAGCTACAAAATGCAGCGACCATCGCACAATAAGTCTTATTGCACATACAGCAAAGATAATAGCAAAGATACTTAAAAGAAGAATTGAAAGGAAAATAGAGGATGTACTTGGAGAAGATCAGTTTGGATTTAGAAGAGGAAAAGGAACCAGGGATGCAATTGGGATGATGAGAATTATAGCGGAACGAACTTTGGAGATAGATGAAGAACT